ATACGCTAAATTGCAAACAATGACTTATTGCAATATAAATTAATTGTTTAGTGTTCTCATTCTCAAAACATATAGTGCTTACATTATTATTATGGTGTAATAACGTGATCACGTCTTCATAATAGCGTACTGAAAGTAGCATTAAAGGAAAATTTTTTTTAATTAGCGTTTTGTCCTCTAAAGTCGAACAGTTTGTGTGATCTCACTTCAAATATTTTTGCTATTTTTTGTGCTCAGTTTTTGCGTGCCTTCACATATTCAATAGAATTAAAAGATTTCATGTAATTGCCATATCATTTTGACAAATTTGAAAATAAAACATTCTAAAGATTAGATTGAATTACATCGCATTATTCTGACTCACAGCATTTTGTGTTTATTTCACTTCCCTCTAATTTTTTTTTGCTGTTGTTAGAAGGAAAAAACAGTTTCTGAAGAAATAAAATGAAAGATAACACTGAAAAAATAGAAGCAGAAACTGAGAAAGTGTAGAAGTGATCAAATTGATGATATCGATAAATTGGCAAAAATGCATATAATAACATTTTTTGAAGAGTAAGTAATTATTTATCAAAAAAGGAATTTAAATATGTTTTATTTGAGTGTTCGTAGCACTGACATGTTGAGTAATGAGTAATGAAACGAGAGATTTTACTATGGTTGTTAGTGTTTTTTATGGCAATTGTTTAGATTGAAGTAATAAAAGTTTTTTTTAACTTATTACAAGTATCCATTTTTAGAGAGATTCATAAAGTTTGCAAATAGATTGGAAATATAAGTGCAAGAGATGATAATAATATAAATTAATATACATTAATTTTTAGAATACCGACTAAATATTCAATACAAGATTATTTTTGGGGTCAATTTTGAAAGCTATATTCAAAAAATTCATTAGTATAATCATTATGAACTGCATGCTTACGTGATACAAATGATATATATACTGATGATAAAATGCAGTCAAGGAGTAGAAACTAACTTTTCAATCGTTGTTTAATAGTGGTCTGATTGCAGTTCATGATCTTTACAAACTATTTGTTATAGAACAGCAATGATATTATATTGAGAACAAAGTGGAAAAGCCGTTATACATTTGCCAAATACCAGATCGATTATTTTGGATCAGTCGCTGATAACACTTATCAGTTCTGGAAATATCTTCCATCTCATGCTCAATCAGTTTGTTATTTTATCAAAATTTGTTTATATCTTGTAATTCATTGCGGTGATTTTGGATTGGATTGCTTGTTTAATAATACTTGAATGATTTGTTATTACTTTCAGCTAAAGCAATCTGCAAGATTATTATTATGGAAAGCTGAAAATCATGCAAATGTAGTATCAGCAGATGTAAAAAATGTCTGCAGAAAATTAACCTGGACGATATTAAAACGCGATAGTTGGATTTCAGTTGCGGTCTTTAATGACTCTGTAGCACTTATTGAAGTTTGTTATTATTTATAATTGAAAATTGAAATTGGTATGAAAGTTTCATGGTATTTCCTTGTAATATTTGAAAAAGAAAATGCTTTTTCCTATATTTGTACTAATGAAAATCGAAATTAAAACAAAATTTCTTAATTAGATTAATATTTTGAATTGAAATTAAATCGAAAATATTTGGAATTCATAATAAATTGACAAATATACGTTTTATGCATTATATTAATGTTAGATGTTTTACATTGATTGAAAAATAAGTATAGGGAGGTACGCATAATTTCTCAAAAATTATTTATTTCAGAAATTATTTAGACATTATTTGAAAATAGCATGCATTAATCAGTTATTATAACATAAAGCAATCATAAAGTAATACCATTGTACTTCATAAAAAAACAGTAGTTATCTAATGCTTTTTCTGTAGAACGAAAATCTTTCTGAAAACATAATCGTCAGGAATGTCATGTCATGTCATGACCCTTAATATTGTGTTTATTTTCATCTGGCGGAAGAGAGTAGAATGTTTTCAGTAATTATTATTATTAAAATAATTTTCAACTATTACTATTGAATATTAGTACTAATATTTAGTAACCCTACTTAATTACAATAATTTTTGATGTAGGATATTTACCCAAATTTTGCGATCAATTTAGTTTTCCATTAATATTACTTCATAAATAAGATAAAGTTAAATCTTATAAATAATAGTTGAGTTAGAAAATGAATATTCTTGTCATGATTATATCTTGTTAAATATTATAGAAATGTGATGTCATTTTGTTCAATTTTCCATTAGTTTGGACAGAAGTAAAAGAAGAAAACAGCGAGTATTTGGTCCGGATATTCAATCCAGAAAATGAATTTTACATTCGATTTAAAAATTTTGAATCCAAGGTGTTGCAATATATGTGTTATAAAATTAATATTGTAATACGAATAAATAAATAAAAATAATGAATAACTAAAGTTATATCAAATGTTTGGTTGGTTAGACTTTATTTATTTGTTATTTTTACGTAAAATATTCATTTCTGATTTGAAAAAGTGAGGACCTATTTATGTATATTTGAATATATTAGATTAGATGCAGGAAATTTTGAATGACTTTTTTTAAAAATAAGACCTGATTTTATTTAAATAATTAAAAATCGTGTACTGCTACTCTTTTACGTAAAACTTCTAAAATCATAATAAAAATCTTTTGTATGAGATTGATAGTTTATGAGTTTTATATAAAATGGAATGTAAACACATTGTATTCAAAGCGTTTATCGGTAATTCAATAGTAAATCAAATAAGGCCACTGTTCAGCATCTAATAACAATGATATGATATCAAAGTTCTGGTGATTATTTTGATATTCTGACTGTTATACTTGAATATTTTCATTTGTGGGAAAAAGGTTGTAGTAGACTGCCTTAGTTATACTTCAATTATCTCATATACTTTAAATATTCAATCTATTCTTCATAATTTTTCAGAATAAATTTGTAAGCGCTATTCGACAATGGCGATATTTCAATGAACGCTACAGAATAGATAATAGTTTGGAACGATGTGTCATTGATTTGCCTAAGCAACGACATGGAAACTATAAATTTTCATCAGATCATCCAAATTATGCAAATTGTAGCTATAGCGGATATTGGTTGGATGGTAAACCTCATGGAAGGTAATTTTGTTTTTAATATGCACAATTAAAGTTATCATTACTGATCACTTTGTTGTTGTACATTCATTATCAGTTACTTATTAATGCTAGCAAGTCCTTCACGTTTAATGCTAAATATGTTTTTTGTATACAATTTACAAGGATAACCACATTTGCATAATTTTTTACAGAGGACATCTCGTGTATGCAAACAGTAATGAATATCGAGGAAATTTTGTTGATGGACGTGTGGAAGGGTATGCTTATTCGTTAGTTATTACAGCATTCTTCATCAAAACCAGTGATTTTTTAAAATGTTTCTTCAGATAATAAGTTTCTCTAGAAAAGTCTACAATACTCAACAGTTATGAGAAAATGGCTTTTTATTTGTTGTACATTTCTGTTGTTCATTCTTTATGATATTGTTATACATTGTATTGGCATCTTCGAAGATTACTAATTAACTAGTTTAAAAAATTTTAGGTTCGGTAAAATGTTAATAGCATTAGAAAGTAGCGAAAAATCAAGTAAATTAGTACCAAACCTTGACACTGAAAACCTTGGAAAAGAAGCAAAATTTGATATGTACACAGGATTTTGGCTCAATGGATTGCTAAATGGATTAGCACATATCAAGTGAGATTTTTTTTTCTTATCTCTGAGCTAATTGGTAGTGTGAATACATTATACTGTTTTGATTGTTGATGAAAGCTACTGTATAGATTTATTTTAGTATTTTTTCCGCAAAAAAAAAATTTTAATTGCTAGTTGCGACCATTAATAAACATTTATATCACTGTGATCCTTCGTGACATGACTTACGAATTTTTCGCTTTCTAATCTTATCATTTCATTATACTTTCATTCATTTATCTGTTTCACTTTGAATGTTTTTGCAATAGTTTCCGATCACATTTTTTTCAGTAGAGAGTAGTTTTAGTAATTCATAGCGTGAGGAAACTGTTTTTAAAGATTTTAATCTTTTTGAAGCATTTATTATTGCTTGTTTTTAGTTTGTGTCATCAGTATATTTCTGAGTTCATTTGGTTATGATATTCGTAGCCTAGAGTTGTTTTTTCAGCAACTAAAGTACTTTACCGAAACTATTGTGATTGTTTATTTTTGATTCATTACGTATTTATATGCATATTAAATTTTCAGCCTGTTTTAGTTTGAAGTTTAACATTTAATTTATTAATAAAAAATCTTCAGTAGATTTGTTGCTGAAGTTGAAATTGAATAAATAGCTTTAATTATTTAAGAAACAGCTTTGTAATTATGAAAATATTCAGATTTTCAAATGGTGATACTTATAAAGGTTATATGCACAATGGTGAAAAACATGGATTTGGAGTTTTGCATACCTCAAAAAATGGTGAAACAAAAGTTTACTTGGGTGGTTGGTGTTGTGGAATGCGTTCCGGTTATGGTGTTTTCACAGACAACAGTAATATTTTCTTCTGAGAATAATTTCAAGTTATAAATAGGTCTAGAAAGAATTCCTAGAAAACTATATCAATCAGTTTCTAAGAATTGATTTTCTTTTTTTGATGCAAATTTGAGGTGTATTTCATGAACATCAGTAATTATAACACCATTTTAAATATTTATTTTGTCATACTTCGTCACTTAACAGGCTTTTCATGTACTGTTATATGAAGTTACAGGAAAAACTTGTAATTATAATTTACTGTATATAATGAAATAAAAAATCATATTTTTGGGGGAACGTTATTTGGGCTTATGGATGAATAATGTGAGACATGGGAAAGGCGCCCTGATAAGTATTGAAGGCACATATCAAGAAGGATTATTTGAAAATGATCGTCTAGTGGTTTGTTTTGAGATGAGTTTTTTGTTAAGCTATTAAGCTTGAAAATTTCTGCCGAATATTTTGGTGAAATGCATTTTTTATCGTACTGTAATATTGTTTCAAGGACATGAGCGACATGTTCGATAAATTTTATATACTTTCTGAAACAATTTTTCTCAAATTTGATGATATATTTTTGAAGTATGAAGTTTGTTGTATTAGTGTCAGCTTGATTTAAAATTTTAACTAATAATGATAAATTTTTCAGCATGGTTGTTTAACTATGCCTGCTAGTGATGGATATTCTGAACTAAAATTTGAAGGTGATTTCGAGGAAAAAAACATTATTGGCGGAAAGGTACAGTGCACGATCATAATTCATTTTTGAGAGTATTTCAAACGAGTAACTTATGCTAGAAAAGGTATTGCATGAAATTTGTCGACAATCACTTTGATTTTATTACCTTTGAATTCAGGGGACACTTTACTTGAATAGTTCTGAGCGCATAGAAGGTCAAATGACAGGTGATATTATAAGAGGCGAAGTAAGAATCACAAATGCTATCTTTTCAAGAATAAATACAGCTGATATGACGCCATCACTAATGTCTTTTTGGCATGAAAGGTAACTTTAATTTACAGAAATTAAACAGGAATTCTATTTGTATGAATGCAGAATTTACAAAAATAACTGAATAATTCTAACTTGATTTCAGTTGCAAATCGCCTCGAAATACTGAGTGGATGATAGACGCAAACGAGAAATGGAAAGAATTTTTCAGGGATTTTTTACTCTATGATTTACTTATTCCTGTCCATCTAGATAACGTAGCAGATATAAGTGAGTTTGTTGATGATCAGTGTCGCACGATGATTTGGAATTCACTTGCGTCCAACATAGCAAAGATTCGTTTGGGCATGAATGAAGAAGAAATAAGGTATTTTTTACAAAAATTTGCGTATTTCTGATTTGAAAAATAGAAACTTTGTTTGAAAAAGATTTTTCATTATCTCTGTCTAAACAGTTTTTCTTAAAAATTTTTGTGTCATATGTTACAAATGTGGAATTGACTTCTTTAGAGTCACATTTGATGAAAATCTGGAAAAAATTCCCGAATACACAGCTCAGTGGTGTTATGAATACTATGAAATGGTGCAGCAATATTGGAATTTGGTAGAGTTTTTGAGATACTTTCATGTTAAAGTTTTTGTTGAACTTGTTATTTTTATTGTCTTTAAGTCACGAAATCTTATCTAAACTTGCATTGAGACTTTGAGAAACCTAACTCATCTATAGCTCATTCTTTATTTTTGTCGAGAAATCTAAAAAGGAAATAAAATATTGAACTAAAAAAGTATAGATATTCATGAATTAAAGAAGAAAATTGTTCTTGTTGTTGCATGATTATTTATCACGAAACTTGCTCACTCTCAAAAACACATTACTGTTCAAGTTTGTTCTTAACTGCAATGTTTTCAGGCCATGAAACACAAATATCACCCATTGCACCGTTTGGTATATGGTTTAATTGAAGTTTTTACCGGTTCTTACGGGGCTGTCGGAACTCATCAAGTGGTCTACAGCCAAGCTGTTTGTGAATTGTTTAGTATACTTTCAAGGATTTATTCAATTATTCGGTAAAATATTGGAATAAAACAATTTTTTACAACGTAGTTTTGATAGATATGCTAATGAATCAGTTCTTATGTTCGTTTCTGCACATTTTCCTTCATTTTTAGATTACTTTTCAACAGTTTGCCGAGAACATTAGAAATGTTCACTCCTGTTCCAGCACACAGAGATCATAATTTAGGCACGGAAAATACTGGATTCCAATCCCAAGAGAAACTGTTAGTTTGCTTACTTAATTTGGCATCATTGCTTACTACTTTGTGTGATAGCATTATTATCATAAAATTGTTTGATATTATTATGAAATTATTTTGATTTATAAGACTTATTTTTTCGAATTTGAGTGCTTAAGTTTTTAACGTTAGATTTACTTTGGATTTAGTACACGAGACTTGAAATTTGTAGCTCCAATCGTGTAGTTTTTATTCGTTTTTTATTTATTTCGAACGCAGGATAGTTTTTATTCTAGCAAACAGTGCATGTTAAATGATTGATATTAACTCTCTAAATTAAAAACTTATATTTATTATAGTTTTGCTATGAAAACTGTTGCATGTAAAAAATAAACATATTGTTGTGCCATTTCAGAAATGGAGAAAATATTGCATTAAATTTAACGCCTGTCTGTAATTTTATCGTTGAAACGTTTTTCTGTCAGTGTTATTCAGTAATTTTTACTCTTTACTCAGTAAACTGTTCTGATTTCGACCAACGATACTGGGAACGTGTTATGTACTTAAATGCTTTCACTGATGTAAAATTACTTGTTTACCTTGAAATAAATCGGTAAGAATTAATTGTTGTCCAAATCAAGAAGTGGATGATGTTAGTAGCATCATTAGAGCTAACCGTTACAGTTTGGTCGGACTCAATTTGTTTCAGATTAATGCCAAGAATTTACTTCACTGTTATTGAAGCAACTCTTTTTTGTCTTGATTTGAAATTTAATATTTAGTGGTATCTTATTTACAACGTCAAAAAAGTTTTGTAGAAATTGAAAGTTATAAGGGGTATTTTAACATTTTTGTTTGTGATCTTCGTGATAATCTTTTGCTGCAAGTTTTGACAGGATTTTTTAAATTAAATTAACTGTTTTGTAATTAGGGATAAGCTGGTAAGGGTAAATAATCTGCTCATTGAGTGAATAGAAAAAAATAAAGTTTAAATTTTCGGTTCAGAATTTGATGCTTACTCTTTTATTGCATGAGTGACTTAAAATAAAGGTACATTTTTCTTGTGGATTTGAATGAATATTATTTATTCAGGGATCTTTGGCCGATAAATGTTGAAAACATCAATGATCTTGATGCACCTCTGGTATGTTTTAATGAAAATCATTTAAAATGTTGCATTACAAATTTAATAATGTTAATACAGTAAATTTTTATAATTTTAGTCAAAATTTGATTTATTTCATCGTCTTCATGATTAAAGTTTTAATCATAAAAATGAGGATGAATTAAGTATTTCGTTTTCAGATTCGTGCTACAGCTCGTAAGAAATTTTATCACTCAGCTATTCAGACGTTACAACAAATTAGTGCACATTTTAATCCAGCTTCAAAATTAGCAGTATTAATCGATACATTCAAAGAAATTGGAGCCGTTAGTTTATTTTAATTTTTCAAAAAACGATTTATATTAAGACGAATTTTGCTATTATTAATATTTGCATATCTAGTAGAGTACAGCTTTTCCAATCTTTCACTCAACTTGCTGTATTCTTCTCATGATATTCGACCTCAATTTGATACTTGCTGCTTAGTACTTACTTCTTTTTAATATTCAATTCATAGATCATTTGTGATCTTTGAAACGTCGTATTTGAAAAAATAATATTGAGAGCACATTTTTTGATTCAAGGAAATGCTATTGCCAACCATTTTTTTTCTCGTTTTGTAAAAAATGTAAACAAAAAAATTCAGAGTAAATGCTAGAGTAATATAGCATTTTTTAACGTTAGATTTACTTTGGATTTAGTACACGAGACTGGGATTCCATTATTCAAGATGTAAGCATAGTGTAAGTTATGAAAACTGCATTAAGAATAATGGAAAGCTTTTTATATATGAACAAAGTTAAAAATATTCAGGCACGCGACAACAGTAAAATACAATATTTAAAATTGCATAAAAGGTACGATTATTGAGGAAAAAAGACATGGATCATTGTGATATGAAATGAAGAAACAGAAAAATATGAAGCAAGAAGGTAGATGCTTCTTGTCCTTTCCTATTCAAACCGTCTCCAGTACAACAATTATACCCCCCGAAGCATTTTCAAACTAAGACAAATTCAAGTAAAAATTGTGTAAAAGTTATATATTCTCAACCCCAAAGCTTTTTTTACTGTTGTCGCAGAAGTCACCTTATTAACTCAATCTCTGTCACTCATTTTTTTATTTTCACAACCACAGGTTACAAATAACAACAGTTATAATAATCTATATGTCAAAATACAATGAAAAAGTAATTAATGAGGAGCAAAAAGTTGTGATATCAAAACCACGAACAGATCTTATCAAACAGCGAGAAAGTATGTGTTCAAGTAGATTGACGTTACTTTTGAGAATCAGTTTTTCCGTTAACTACCATTTATTTAAAAAAATTAACAAGGATCTTTTTATCAAAAAAAGTAGAAAATTAGTAAGTTACAAAATCAACTGGCTGTTATTTTTCTTTCGTTTGCAGGTAAAACAAACTTTATAACTACCTAATTTGCAATGGTAACAATGAAATTGACTAATTGCGCTTCAGTCAGTTATTATAATAACATTTGTGTCAGGAAGAATGATTTATTTAAAACTTTTTAAATTCATCACGAAGTTCATATATGAAGAGGCTAAAATACAAAGCTTATAAGTGAAAATTTTTATGCAGTCCTTAAATTATAATTAAGCAGTTCGATAGAGAAAGGTTAGTTAAGTATGCTTGGTCGAGTATTTTCTGAAAGTTAGACGCATCTGTTTAGTATTAATTAAGAAAGTTTTTTATTAAAATTTTTGAAATAAATAATGTAATGATTTACAAATAACAAAAGAATTATGTTGAAATTCATCACTTTTCTCATGAATAAATGCTTCACCGGAATGAACTCAAATTTATAAACTAATATGAAGCGTACACACAAGGAGCATTATTAGGTGTATTTCAGTCAAGCATAGTTAAGAGAATACGATCTAGAAGTATGTTCAAGACGGGAACCGGTATAGGAACTGAATTTAGTAAATCAGTACATCTTGAGTCCTGAGAGCATTTTTCGTTTGTAATAGCTGATCCTCCGGGATCAGAAAAGTTTTTTGTTGGCAAAACAAAAGCATGAATCACTGGTACATCTGTATTTTTGTAATTTTCCATCTTTTGGCACAATTCTTCATCAATTGCTGAATTTGGCCAACACTTTTTTTTTTCACTACTTAAAGTAGTATTGTTAATATTAGCTGAATTACTATCATTTGATGGTAATTGAGTAGGTGATGATAATGATGAACTGCATTTTACGTCTACTATGCTGCTGGAAGTTTCAATTTCCAGCTTCTCTACATTTTGCTTGCATGTGTTTGAACCATTCATGTTTGAACTTGGTTCACATTCATCCGTATTATCAGCTGGAGTTTTAATTTCACTTTTAATTGGTAGTGAAAAGTTCGAATGAAGAGCTATAGCTGCCATACATTCCAGAAATCGAGCTTCCATTGCTGGTGGACGATGCTAAACAGAAAGCTAATTGTTGTGTTATAGTGAAAAAAAAATTTTCTGAAATGAATTATAGTACTAGTTGTTGTCAAAAATGTTATCGAAATGATATTTGCATCATGTTATTTAAGCAAGACGTATAAAGTACTGAACTTTTCAACGAACACAAAGTAGCGAACTTTTTTCCTTCATAATATGCAAATGCAAAGGATAAGTATGAAAATGTAAACTAACATTGAAAGGATGATGCCGGTCGGGTGAGTTTTCATCAAGGCAGTCAGATGCATCAACTTTCTCTGGAATTTTATGGAGACTTTTCGAACTTCCGGCTACTTGCAGCAATGAAGGTTTAGCATCAGCTTGCGTTTCAGGCTGCTTGATTAGCTGGTGTTGATTTTTTGTCGATGAGTTATGTGCTAAAAGTACACTTTAAATAAGAAACTTTTGTGAATGAAAAAAAATTAAATGTCCAAGTGGGTATATGGTATTTGAGGACAGCAGTAATTGTTTTCCTTAATTTTTACCATGTATGCTTCAAATCAGATAAGCTTCATTGAGTGATACATATAGCGTGAAAGCAAAACTTTTATTTCAAACTAGATTCAATGATAAGCAAGTAGAAAATAGATGGAATCAAAATTTAGTCATTTTCTGATAAAATCTGACAAAATCAAAAAGTCATGAAATCAATCACTCTTTTGTGAGTCACTGCAGCTATAATTAAATAAGAGAAGAGTGAAATGCTTAGAATTTGGTGAAAGATAAGTTTAAAGTAGAAGTGCACTTCTTGACACGGCAACTAATCTTAAATCTTACACTTATTCCCAAAATTCGAATACATATTTATGTAAGTGTCTAATTTTTTATGGAGAAAACTGCTATTAGTAAATATGAGTGTAAAAAACATCAGCCGACAATTCTCTTATAGTAAATATGAAAAAGTGTAACCTTTAGTAGACTTCTGTCGATTTCGCTCTTCGCTTTCCTCTGATCCATTGATTCTGCTTCGTTTTCTGCATAAAGTTCCTACTTCTTGTTGTTCAGCTGTGTAATTCTCATTACACAACGATCGCAAAATTGACATTTCATCGTAAGGTCTTTTCAATTGGCTATGCTGTTGATGTTTACTAATGGTACTACTACTACTACTAGTACTACTACTATTAATGCCACAAGTACTATTATTAAGTGCGAAAATTTGTAATGCCGTGGGATTCAGCTGTTGAGATGATACTGCAGATGAACAAGCATCGTTATTGAATACCGCTTTATCAGACATTGTGCCACTTGTAGATGCGCATTCGTTTATCACAGACGACGAAATGCTACCATGAGCCAATAAATTCATCTACAAATGAACTACTGCATTCCATGCAAACACATAAAATCTAAGACTTTTAGTAGCTTATTAAACACACTGTGTAAGAAACGAAAACTTAATTTTATCCAAACTTAGACAAGACCCACCCATACTGTTTCAGATTTCATATTAGGGTACGATTAATGCCTGTTTTCAAAGTACCATTTTACTTTGAGTATAATAGAAAAATGTGCATCATTACGATAGCATGAGAAACGTCTCTTGAATCTCGTAAAGTGCTTATGCATGTATCAGTTGAGGAAAATAGCACGGTTTGAAAAACTGGACCTGAGTTTGTAGCAAAGATTTCTCCATGATGGTAGCTGTATTAGCAGTGCAACCAGGTTTGCCTGTCATTGTGTCACTTATATTCGGATCTGCTGCTGCAGTATTCAAGCTCATGTTGGCAGCAGCGGTTGCAGCTGCAGCATATGCTGCGAAATTTGGATCAGTAAGTTGTAATAGTCTTAAATGTGGTGCTAATAAACCTAAAGCTGTAGTTGATGGCAGAACGTTAAATGCAGTAGGTAAAAATCCTGCTGCAGCGGCTGCAGCTGCAGCAGTGGCAGTAGCTGTAGCCATTTGCATTTGCATAATTAACAAATCTAATGATTGTTGAGATGATGATGAGACCGTTGTTTGTGATTGTGGGTGAGATACTACTGGTGACTGTAGTTGTGATGGTAATGATAGCGATGGTCCTGCCGTTGAATGGAGTTGCGTACAGATGCCAGAATTTGTACCTCCTGTTAGGTCTGTCATATTAATAGGTGAGAATGCGGAGAGATGATGTGCCAAAGCAGAAGCACCATTATTCGATTGCTGCTGTTGTGATGATGGTAAAAGAGTACGTTGTTGTTGCTGCAAGTATGACTGCAGTTGTGGTGACAATAATGAGTACAAGCGTTGTTTATCAATAAATGATGGAAAACAAGTAGTAGGCGTTGTGGAAGTTGTTACTACTGGTGATATTTCACTTGTAGTTGCAATAGTTACAGTTGAATCAGTACATGTAGTATTGGTAATATTCTCCGTACAATTCAAATCAATGGGAAAGTGAGCATTTTGTTGTTGTAAATGATTTTCCAACTGTGTTGCAGCAGCTGCTGCTGCTATATAAGCAGTTTGCAATGTCACGTGATCAAATAATGCGACTTCAGGTAGACTGGAAGAAGGAACGGATGCAGTAGTAGCAGTAGTCCTTGACATTTCCTTGCTTTCCTCCATACTAGTTAGCACCTTCTTTCTCTTCACGTTACACTTCACTATTTTGTTCTTTGTAAACCATTAGTTTTTCATTGAAACAGCCTGAAAATGAGCAAAAAGAAGAAACAAAGTGTACAAATGCAATGAGCTTGAATAATCTTTACAGTGTGAAAAATGAACAAAACTAAAGATTAGGATGTATACATGATAAAGGCTAGAACATACTATACAAATAGCTTTCCAAAATAGAAACTGCAAGTAAGCACATATATATATCATTACGGAGGTTAATCTTTTCTTTTGCATTATTGATACTGGCACTCTCGTTGTACTCGCCTGGCGCTCAGTTCACCGCTGCTTTGTCCTTGTCGAAACCACAGCAATGGAATGAAATGCTGCTTCCGAGCGTTTTCTTGAGCATTGTCCATTGGATAGATGTCTCTGATATACTGATCTCCTTTTCGTAGTATTCATAAAAGTTCGCCACTATCTATCACAGGTCATCATCACATACGCAATTATTTTCGTCCTGCATTTCATCTCTACTCCGAGTTTGAGTTAGTACATCGTACATTCTGTTTTTCTCGGTCTAAACTGCTAAGCTTGCCCTGACTAATGATGCCAGCTTCTATCAGAATACCTTCATGTCGCTTCGTGTAGTACACTAAGACATCCGGACGATCTGTACTTATCTTAATCGTTGTTTTAACGTGTGTATCGACTCTCATCTCATCTCCACGTTCTCATTTGTGACAATCTTCTGGACAGAATGATTTGCGCGTGGGAATGCCTCCAGATCATACTTCTTACTGAGTCCCAGGTGCATGCATCACTGTAGCTTATTATGCCTCGCACAGCATCACCAGATGGTTCACCGTCTTCATATGCATCTACAATGTGGGAACATATTGTCTTGGGTTCTAAATATCTATCTATCTTTGTATCTCAAAAGTAATAGTATCTCGTGGGGTTAAGCTACTGTGCATGCAGTTACTGTTAACTGAAGCTGACTTAGTCACTTCTTCACTCATAGCTGCGGATATAATCAGTTAAATTTAAGCCAATGACAAAAAAGTTACAGAACTGCGTAGCCGTCATGATGTAAATACGTGGTCATTGTAAAATTTTACGATATGAAATGTATAAATATTATATACACTCAGCTTTTTACTCTATAAAGGTTTGTCTTAGCAGATAATGAAGTAGAAATTAGTAAAGCACTATCTTATAATATGCTGTTTTCTATAAGCTTCTTAGTAGGTAAGTAAGAAATAGAAAAAGTGGATAAGTTTATAGTAATGGTCGTTTTGTGCAGTGGCACTGACGGATGGATGGACGGCATCTGCTGACTGGCCAGTTGGAAGTGTATAAAGTACAGCCAATACTTTCAAACAAGATCCATTACACACACAAACACATACATGTACAAATGGAGTCTTAATAAGAGCGACCAAAATGTAAAGTGCAAACACATCAATACTTCTTCCCACCCGTTGTTGCACTTGCTTGAAAAAGGACATATATAAATGCAAAGGATATGTTTTGAAGTTCATTTAACGTGTGCATATGTATCTGCGTGGCAGTGCATACGTTGTAGCAGAATTAACTGCAGATGAAAGTATAAAAATACATAAATACGTACTCTTATTTGTTTTGTGATGATGTTTGCTAAAAACATAAAGTGCAAAAACTGATGATCTTTTTATAAAGTGCTTCTTTTCTATTTAGCTGCTCACTTACTTGATTTTAAATGAGGAGACAAAGATTGAGAGTGTGAGTAAGAAAGTTTATGATTTCACTTTAAAAAAGGGAAGGGCAAAGATTAAGAGTGAATGAGGAGATATCATTTATTCAGTATTCTTGAGATACTCTCTTCAACACTGGCAAGGTTACCATTATTAGTTAGTAGCCTAGTCTCCTCTTCTCATACTGTCCTAGTAAAATTTCTTGACTAATTTGAGCTATGCTCCAAACTTATCCATTCCTCTCTCCCACTTCATTCTTGATTACTTACTGCAAAAAGCAGAAAACTTTTTAAGAAACAAAAAAAAGAGCGGAATTTGCACTTATCGCACTCTTTGTCCTTCGCTTTTGCCCATATTTTGTTAACGCTGTTTTGACTCATCTACATTTTGTTTGCTGTCTTCATGTACTTTGAAGCTTAAGAGTGCAAAAATGCTTAGAAACATTGAGGGGATGAGTGAGTGTGAGTAAGTGAGTGAGTGAGTGAGCGCGTAAATGCGCAAATGCATTGCTTGCATGTACTTGATATCTTTGGGAGTAGTGGTATTCATACATAAGTAATCATCTATTCACTCACTACGTGCACTTTTACGTATAAATTGTAGAAATATGAAAGATAAGCCAACATCTGAAAAATGTTTTGCTTTCACAGCAAAGTGAAAAACATCGAATGCATCTTTTTCTTGCTTGAATAAACGCACTTTTATTTATTTACATTTTTTATACTTTGCAAATGCGAAATGAAAATATTTTTGCGTTGAGGCTATCTTAAAAATTGAAAGCAACAAAGAAAATGAAAATGGTTTTCTGGTATTATTTTACTACTGTGCATTAAGCTGTCAAGTAATTAATACTTATTCAACACAAGGATTTTATTAAGTAAATAATATTAAAAAAAGTTCATCTAAATTAAAGGATTAGTTAGAAGAAACAGCCTGGAAAACAAACTGAATTATGTGAAGTGTTTGCAAGAAAAGAATTAAAAACAAAGCAACTACAAGTGAACATGAAATTGAATAATTGTTTACTGAAAAATATTTGCATCTTCTGAGTAAAATCCTTTTCTTATGTGTTGTTGTTAAAATTTACTACTACAGGAATATAGTGTATTTATATTCATTTCCAAAATTTAATCACAATACAGGAATATGTACTTGATCAAATGCATGACATCTTGGTATCGCAAATACAATTACTTATTCTTGCACTCACTTGTATTACTGTAAGTTATGAATAGCGAGATGAACTAACGATGAGTTAAAGATTTAGTTTTCTTTGTATAAGTAACTGTGAAAATAAATCAGCTGTAAGGTCTGCAACGGAAACTGCAGTAATACTAATAATCTGAAATGAAAATGTGAAATAATTCAAAATGTGCACTTTATACGTTACACTCACTACACTTTCATGAATGAAATAAAATCATGTCATATTACTTTACAAATTGTACGTCTTGTGATGTAATATTTCACTGCATCAATTTATTTATGCACATGCACTTTATATTTTTTTCAAATGTTATTCCGGTTACAGAATGCACTTAAGTTTCAACGTATAGTGAGATTAATAATAATTATTCTTGCAATAATGCGGATAGAATCGCATCAGTAATAGTATTTAAAAAACGTATAAATTTACAAGATTAGATAGTATTTGGAGACTTGTAAATAAATAAGTGCAGTTTGAGAGTTTCTTCTCGGCCCACTCGAGAATCTTAATTGTGTTACTTGAAGTTACTGAAAGAAAACTAGAAGGAAAAGAATTGTTTTCATTCTTATTTTTCTTCACGTATTGATTCTCGATATGAAAAATGTAAAAATATAAAAAGTGCACTAAATGTTTTTGCAGAAAGTACAACGAGCACTCCTCATCAGTCCTTTTCAGGCATCTATTTCTACCATACACTACCTACCCAACTGAATCAGTTCAATTCATTTCAAACCTTCTTATCACTATACAGTCATTTATCGATACATCTTATCTGTAGTAAAACGGAAAGTGTCCATTACACTTTGCAAACAACGTAATCAATGTTTTGATTATAGTAAGCAAGGGAATTAAATAAGGAATTTGTAGTGTAGTGTTGATTGAGATTTGTTTTTCTCATGAATTTCGGATTATTGCTAAATCTATTAATTAGATTACATAAACAATATTTAACATTCTCTAGTTCAATTTAATTTAGCGATATCTATATACTTCGCAAAATGTTTACTGTCAACAAAATTTTTTAAAATATTTGAATTTATTCCTGAAATCGTACCAACTAAATAAATCTTGCTTTTTATTTTCGACATATTTCTACCACTAGAAATCTAAGAATACAAAAGCAAAAATTTCACATTACATTCAGTATTATAGAAATTAATTGTAATTTTCGTAGCAATATTTACCTATTAAGCTTGAAAACGAGATATTTTTAAATACACCAAAATTGATTCAGTTGTTATTAATGTTTTTCAAAAAGGCATAGAAAAGAAAACAAATAAAGTTTGATCACATTTGTGGTCATGGTTTAAATTCTAAATTCAGTACTGGTAATGTACATATGCATATTTTACATTCATTCATTCAGAAGCTGGTTGGTAATTATCGTTACGATTTAATGATAGTGATTACTTTTTTATTTGCGTGCACTTTTGTTGAAGTGATGTTTCTGAGATTGTGAAAATGTGTACTTTGTAGGTATCAGAATTTCAAAGCAGAATTCAAAACACAACAAATTATGGTATGATAAATCCTTCGGTAGTTTTAGACTGAATGCAAAAATTAAAATCTCCTTTCAACACATAAACCATACAATTTATAACTCTTTCGAGTGTCAAAATTCTTGCCGAAATTGCATGTAATCATTTTCGCAAGTAAAAGCTACCTTCACATAGTAAAACTATTTTTAGCAACGTGCTTTATTTACTTATTCATTAGCAAGGTCGAGGTAAATTAATACAACATAATCATATATAATTTATGTTTGCAATTGTTTAAGAGTTTAAAAATGGTTCGTTTTGTCCGTTTTCCAAACTTCTTATTCATGGATACTCAATAGATTTACTCACATAATACTAGAAGTGGCAAGACCTCAGAAAAAAACATTCAATAGCTGAAGCCTTGTAATAATAAGAATATCACTAGAAAATGAGAAATGTTGCAGTGAACAATGAGATGACATCAGTCAAAATTTTTAATCTTTTATAGACGGGAAAAACGATTAGAGATTTACTGATTTCACGGTGGGAACAATGCTGATAATAGAATTTGTTATTTAAGGAAGTGTAAAAAATATTTTTATACACTTTTAAACACAAAAATGACTAGAATTATGAAAACAGTGGAGAAGACACTAATGACGAAAAGTTGCACAAGTGTTAAAAGCTATGAATTTGATGTCACTGATGACAAAGTAGATTATGTAAGTGAGAAATATTGAAGACAAATAACTTTCACATTATGACTTCAACTATAAGAAGAGTATTAAAATAACTTATTTGTCGTCCGCTTACTAAAAGTTAATCAAAAGTTATCATTCAATCAATCAGTCAATTCATTTATATGTCACTAAGCTGTCAAAACATACTAGTACCGTCGACTTGATTCGAAGTGCTAAGTACAACAAAGATTTGCTACATAACAGGTAGAGAAGTGAAAAATAAAAATAGTGAGTTTTATAAGTAAGAAAAATTGTTATTTTCTGGCTTAGATTACAATGTCACAAGTAAAACGTTACACTCAATTAGACAAAGTGAGAATGCTTTGACATTATCAACAGTTGCATCATACATACATTACATTATTAGTATATCTGACTGGTGACTAGTGAGGGATGCAGAATGAGTAACTGCTAGTTTCAGCGCTACAACTAGGCTCCAATAAATGGTAAAGAGATTAAGTTGAAAGGTGAGTGAGTCTCTAAAATATCAAATAAATGCAAGTAAAGTAAACTTTATAATAAAACAGCAAATTACACACATTAATTTTTATTTTTCTTAAAATTAATTTTACAGTGATTATTCTCATATATTGCAATGAAGCTTTCACATGAATCTAAATGCAAACGGTGTTGTTTTTAAGCGAAGTGCATACAACATTTAATGTAAGTGTTTGCATGCATGCTGGTGCAGATGCATAGCGCACTGAGTATACACATGCATCTAGTACGTAGAAGGATATACGTTTCTTTGAGAGTGATAAACGTATGAATTGTGTGTGAAATGTGAGACATCTCTGTTGGACCACTGAATGAAAAACAATAAATGTGATAGTAAAATATTTGAAAAGTCCAATGACTATATACGTGAGAGGATTTTAAATACGTGAATAGAGCTTTCACACTTAAGAAGACTTTTAAATGACAGTAAATTAAATAGAAAAATGAATAAATGAATGGATAGATATCAAGTCTAAATACTAGTTGATGGACTTAAGTAAGAACAACAGGAAAAATAATGAAGTAACGACTTAGTTCCATGCATTTTAAGATATTTTGATGCAGTTAAGTTCAGCAAATCAAAATAAGTACAAAATTAGATTGGTCATTCTAGCTCAGATAATAAAAGATACTCATCACTGAATCAAGCGACAGTTATTTCTGCTGTGTCTTGTATAAGATTGAACTATTTATGTATGAAATGTTTGAAACAAAAGAGATTTGCAAAAATTATGATGTGAATTATCTGGATGATGATATGACATAACATTTCTGAGTGCACAAAATAGAAAATTTGTGGATGAATGATGATAATAAACGTAAATGCGTGCATGAATAAACTGAATATGAATTTAAAAAGTTGCTAATATAAAAGTGAGTTTGAGCGGAAACGCATAGTAATGACAAGTTGAACTCATAATAGCTGTCGTAAAACATTCATACTTCAAGTTTCAGATTACAAGGCTTCAGGTTTTGATGTATTTATTAACTTTATTATTCTTGAATGTATATTTACTACTCATTGTGGTGCATTTATGTATTTGTACTACGTCATAGAAACTTAATTATATAATTTCATGTGTCGTTTTGCTCGGAATTGCAAGAACTGTCTAATAGTACCGATTTAAAATGTCTTTTACATATTTTAGAACAAGAAGAGGTGAACCCATGTAGAGAAGATACAGTTTGTGATGACTAGATTGAGTTGGAATTGAATGAGTTTTGGATGAATTAGAGGAGAGGAAGGGATTGAAACTGAAAAGGTAAATTATGCAACATATAGAAGTGAATAAATATTGAGAGAGGATTAAGGGGAAATGAAATGAAATTGAATAAAGTGAACGAAGGATTGAATGAATGAGTGATTGATTGAATGAATGAATGAGTAGATGAATGTAAATTCAAAGGAAGAGAAGTAGGGGAAAAGTAAATGCAGGCAAAAGAAAGTTTGATGGACAGTTTAGATGAGCGCGAAATGATGTCAAGTGATTAGGGAAAAGAAGAATGCAAAGTGAGAAAAGATGGCGGGAGAGGAGGATGCAGGACGAAAAAAGGCGGGATTCACGTGTTGCGTAGGGTCCTGCGTGAATTATACGTACAGTTTAAAAGTATTGCCTGCGGCGACTACAAAAATAGTTGAAATTTGAAACAGAAAGAGTAAGATAGTAGAATCTAAGACAAGAAAGTGAGACGTAATTTTTTTTTTGTCTTTTCAAATTATTTTTGTACAATTCTGAATTGCTATGCGATCGAAACTTTTAAATTAGTGTTCAGATGGAAATTGATGAAATGTTGCTTCTAAGGAATGGAAGCAGATGCACACCGTGAAAGCTTGTGAATAGTGACAAAAGTTGAAGTAAATTAGAAATGGTTAGTAAAGGGAGAAGAGGAAGAGACAATTAAGCAAATGTGTCTTGCAAAACGTGTAATGTGATACTATCACAGAAAAGACATGCGTGCGGTATTTGCATTTTCTTTTCAATACATTTTGGTTAGAAACGAAACGTATGGAAAGTTGCAATAGGTCAAAGAACACTAATGTGTCTTCATTCAGAGAACGAATGAATGAGTGAGTGAGTGAGTGAGTGAGTGAATGAATGAATGAATGAATGAATAAGTGAAAAGAATGCAAGAATGAATGAATGAATGAATGAATGAGATGAGAGGGTGGGTATATGGATAAATGAACAGAATTTTTTAGCCTTCAGTCTTTGTCAGTCTATTAAGAATTCACAAATTTTAGGCAAAAAAACAATTGGTTAGGGTATGGCTTTCTTCATCTTCGTATTTGAGTGCTGTCCAGTCCGTCTTATCCTCGTAAGTGGTTGAACTTCACGTCATTACCACTACTTATGTGACCAGAAATGATTTACAAGCTTATATCACATGATAATTGGTGACAATTACGGTTTGTGATTGCAGTTGTTATTATAGCATAATTAGCATATGAGCAACTGGTTTTCATGAAATAATAAGGTTAAATTATTAATAATACAACAATAAAGGAAATAAAGATAAAGATAAAGATATAAAAGGAAGAGCAAAGATAGAAATGCACATAGACTCACTCGACTTTCCCTCATATATGATAATCTTCTGCTTTATGGTGTATCAGTTTGGTTTTACTGATTTCATGAGTAAACTAACTTCAGTCCTCAACAAAATTAGTCAACTGATGTAGGTAATGAACAATTTTTTATTTCCGATGAATTAAGCAATTGATAATATAGAGTTTGTTGAATAATGATGAATTCATATTATAAGTTCAAAATATTACTTTTACTGATTTTTCATCAGAAATGAATTACGAATTTTCATAAGTTATGTACATTTATAAATTAATAGTAATTAGCGACTGATAAAGAGGGACGTGATTACTGACTTATTTTACTGCCATTACGTCAACTTCACTAACAAGGCCACGTTGCTACGCGGACATTACAACTTCACAGAGTGATGAATTTTAAAAAGTAATTTTACTACAAACTTTACTTACTTTGATAATGTTACCTATACATTTAAATCTATTTTAAGAAATGCAAAGAACTGTGTGCAAAGATCAAAGGCTGATTTGAATAAAAAAGCAAATTTGTGCCAAAACGATATGTACATGACAAATAATGGCGAAAAACGTTTCAACAATGTTGCTTCACTGTTTTACTCTCTGTTTCTCCCTCTTTCTCCTCACTCTCTATGAAACAATCTTTGACTTTTGCCCTGAAAATATACCACGTAGTGACTTTTTAGCTTGACCTGTAAATTATTCGTTTAAACTTTACTGTTATTTAAAATTGGTACTGATCGTGATATTGACCTTTTTTTGATGTATAAGAAATATACCTTGAAATTTGCAAATTATTTATTGCAAAGTTGTTTCATAGGTCAAATGTTATTCCAGTATTTTTTTGATTAAACAAAACAAATGATCACACAAAAGTAATAATCACTGTTAAATGTATCCATTTATCACTGATGAATCAATTCACAAGTGATCAGTTCAAAATTTCTGTTTGCATTATTGATCAGTGAAGTAAAATAAAGACAGCTGAAGAAGATGAACTAGCATTTAGCAGTGCAGCAGCTGCTTGTACATATAATCATATATACTTGCAGTTTCTTTTTAGCTGTCTATCATCTCGTAATAAGTGATGGCAAGTAGATGTACAACTACACGTAACTTAGTGATTACTTATCTAGTTTTTCATTATTTTGCTTATTTTTATTCAAAGTTCATTTGAATTCTTTTTCTTTGTGAGTACTTTGGTGTTGCTAGTTAATGAAGTAAAAAATCAGAACTTGTTTTTGTTTTCTTTACAAATTGTGTTTGCTTATATTTTGTTTGATGCGCAAGTAAAACTAACACAGTAATGAGTAGATGAGTTCATTTCACTGATAAATAGTTGTTAGGTTTTAACTTAACATTAAGCACTATGTGGTGTGTGATATTTGAAGTATGAAGTAATAAGCAATAAGATTGGATGTGGAGAAATGAGCTAGGCTAGTAGGAATCTGTGATTTAATATCGTTGAGTTTCTCATTAGATATATATGGACTTTTTTTTTATTTAAAAAAAATTTTCTCTAATTTTTTTTTCTTTCACTTCAAAATATTCTTAATTGTAATTTATTACTTGCTAGTGGATGAGTCGCCCTGCAGCATTTACTATTTAAGAAAGAATGGAATAATGTATGGGTTTGAATTCATAAATTAAAAAAGTAGGCAGTAATTGTTTTATGCAAGTAAAATAGTTTGCATTAAAATAGCAATAAAATGTCTAAAATGAAGATTTATGATTACTCAAAAAGTGTTAAATCTTGCTGAGTTTTGATTTAGGTTAGCGAGATGCGAGATATTTTTGGAATGGAATATTTATGAAGTGTGAAGAAAAAGCTAGAAAGTATCAGTGTTGCTAGATTATGGACGATATTAACTTCATTCCATTAGCGACATTTCAGACAGTGGCGCTAGCAATTTTTTCTCTGACGTAAAACCTCGTAAAACTATGAATGAAAAAAAATGAACAAATACAACTTTATGTAGATTTATTCTCATAAATGTAAAATAAATTGTATATATATTGTTTTCGTGTATGTGAAAAAAATTTTTGACTAAATTGTTGCAATCTAATTATCATATTTACTTCTTATACTTGAATAGTAAACAATAAGGACAAAGGCGTATAAAAGTTTGTTTTTATTATCTGTGAGTATTATACTTACTTGTTTTAATAAAATTGCTTAATTTAAACCCATTTAGGAATGAGTAAATGATTACATGAATTGGATAATAAAAAGAAGTTTGTGGACTACTACAGTTGTTTAGTTATTTTTATGGATTAAATAAGGTAAATATGATAGAAAATGATGCTTATATGACATAAAATTCTGATCAGCTGAACAAAAAAATAAGTATAAATGAACAGCAATTTTTTTTTAATAATACATTTTGAGCCTATGATTCGTTGCAGTTACTCAGTAATCGTAAATGTTTTTGTTTAGTTATGGTTAGATCAAAAATATTTGTTTAATTATGGTTAGATCAAAAATGATAGATTAGCAAGTATAATTATTGACAAAACAAATTCAGATTAGACTGATCTTATTATTTTATGAATAAAATAAGTATGCTCCTTCTCTGCTTTATTTTTTAATCATAATACATGAGGGCTTTTTAAATCTTAATTATATTGCAAAAGCAGAAAGTGAAGATTAAAAAGAGTTTATTTGGGAGTTTATTTACTTTGTGAGTAAGACTTTGATAAAAAAAAGTTTACATTTCCTTCAATTCATCAATGAGTTATAAAACCATCAAATAGTCGAAAACCTTGTGGTCATTCTGTTTGAGTACAGTGACTTCTATATTTTCTAGATTTTGACGTGTATTCTTACTTTTCAAGCTTTTTAGTAATGCTTGATGTGTATTCATGTAGACACTGTACAAGTACTCGAGTACAAAGATATAAATTATCATATAAATCCGTTTTGATATTTATTGTCACTAAAACGTGTCAAGCACAAAAATACCAATATTATCGTTTAAAATGCACAACGATTATTAAGACTGCTTTTTGTATATAAAGTTACTAGCCAAATACTGATGAAAATTCAATCGTTCAATATTTAATCATTGCAGAATTGGAAGATGATTTTATCACTGAAATACATCATTAAATATTTTTTTGAATCAAAAATATCTTGTAAAAGATGTTAAATACAGAATCCGCTAGTTACTTCAGAATAAAAAAACTGAGATGCAAAAATTATAGCTTAAAATCAAATTCATAATTAAAAGATGAAAAATGATTAATTAAAGAATAAAAGTAGAAGTAACTGTTTGCTACATTAAAGAGAAAAATTATTTCTGATTGAGTAAATCTGCAATGTGCTGGAAACTGCTCACTTTATTAGCTAAGATATAATGAATTCAGTTGATAGAATAGCAAGTAGTCCATACATACACGTATTACTCTCAAATTTATCCATAAAGTACTACTCTCATATTGCTCATTTGTCCAAAAATCAATAATTAAATAACAAGTAAAGTAAGCAATCTTTAAGTTATAAAAGCTTTTTTGTTGTACTTTTAAAAGTAAAACCAAGGCTTTACGAGTTTAAACTTACTTCAGTATTTTTTTATATGCTTTTTAAAAAGAAAATTAGCACGTAACAGTACGTATTGCTTAAATTTCTATTACTTGAAAGATGTCATTAGTCATCTATTATGTCCGTTCTCTGATTGTAATGAATAACGCATAAAAAGTATTCTTTTATATTTTAATATATCTGTTTGTTCATGCATTTGTTTAGTTACTAATTTATTTAGATTATTCCATTACAAGTATTTTTGCTTTTTCAAAGTTCAAAATGTTGGAAGAAAACAAATTTATTAATATCATTATTTCATGCTAATCATTGATTGATTGTACGACTTTCCTGCTTTTTGCATTCATAATACGTGGAAAAAAGTTTTAATCTGATATATTCTGTGATATGTTATTTTTATCACAAAAATTCACTATTTTTAGTGTGTATCACTATTTGCTGCTGCGGGTGACAATCATATTTGGAGTACAGATGATCTTCTTCCAGCGTTTACGTATGTAACAGTACGTGCTCAAATACAGCATCTTGGTGCTGAAATTCGTTTTATCAAAGATTTTGCGCCTTATTTGCAAAACAGTGGTCAGTTAGAGCCAATGTTTACAACTTTGATGGCTAGTTACTGTCAAATTTGTAATGATAAAAGTATGCCTTAATTTTTTTGAACTTTCTTTCTTATGAATACAAAATATATGCCTTAAAATATGTCTTAATTTTGTTCATTTTTATCGCTATAAATATAATATGTGCTTTGCCGTTGATTACTTTTATATCTTGTAATAATTGTAAATGCTATCTATACTACTTGTTGTTTATTTTTTATTGGGTTTAAATAATTTTGAGCTAAGAGACACGATTTGTTCAATTATTTTTTCGTTTGAAATGATAATATTAGAGTTTTGCTAGTTTTTGCCCAACTTTGTCTTCTATTGTATTATAATCTAAGAAATTATACTGCGTAAATTCAAATCATTTGAAAGAGTTTTTCAAGTGAAAGTTAGAATCTCAAGCAACATGCATTATTTAGCAGCAAACAAATATTGGTGTTGTTTTTAAACTGAATCATTACTTTGTTTATTTTATTTTGTGACTCGCTCTGACTGTCTTAATATGCTGTTTATATAAATTGTATAGATAGTTTGATCAAAGCAATGATAATAACCTTTATATAATTTGGAATCTTCAACTTAATGCAGCTTAATTGCTATTTGGCTAATATAATAGTCATCATTTGTGGCTTTGTCAAATAATAGTTCATGAGCGTAATTTGTGGGGGATAAATAATTTTATGCATTGAAGGCGAAGAAGAATATAGTTAGTTAAAGAGGTCAAAGTTGAAATATTTTATCATTTAAATTGCATTGTGAATCACACCAATTTATGACTTCAAAATGAAGTGAGTGGTCGTATTTCTTATCTTGGATTTGTTTGTATAAACATTTTTGAAATTAATGAACTGTATGTTAATTCTCATGGGTTAAAAATGAATAGCCTTGAAAAAATTTTGGAAATAAATAAGATGGACTAATATTAGATTACAGGGATTGACATATATTTTTAAAAAAGTTTGGAAAATTAAATGAAGTACTTTTTTTAGATATTAAAGATAATTGTCTATACAAGATCGGATAACGAATAATTAATGTTAACAACTTCATTATGTGATAATAGAAAGTTGTATTCTGAAATACTTTACGAGAAATAGAGAATATTAAGCATTGAGGTAGCACAAAATTACTATTACAGAAAAATAGAAATTATTTGTAATATTGGAAATGAATTAATTACTAAGAGATGAAATATAAATTGCTCAAAGTTAGCACAAATATGCTACACAAAAATTAGCCAAATCTGTTAATCTGTCGTTAAAAAATTTAGCGATAATTGAAGAACATCACAAGAACTATTTGGTAAATTTGTGGATGAGTAACGTAGCCAAAATGTATCGAATTGAAATAAATTAACTCAGAGTTATCTTACTTGAAAAGATTGCCTTTGAAAGTAAGTTAAGAAGTAATATCACACTAAAAAGTCTTCATTGAAATATTATTTAGAAGGATATTTCGATGTATTGTTTTTGTGGTATAAAAGAGTGCTCATTTTAGATGATAAATTTATTAACTGTAATTATGAACTAATTTAAGACTTTGAATTTTCAAAATAGAATTATTTTGTATAAAAATTTGGTTAACGATATTTTTTGATTATTTTGAGCTTTTAATTTTTTCTTTTGTTTTATTTTTTTCCAATTCATATTTTTGGAGAGAGGCTATTTAAGGATTTGTTAAGTAATAACCATTGAGTTATCAAAGGATTTTTGATTAATAATTTCTGTAGTGTAAAAATAAAAGTTGAATTTCTACTGCAAAAAAAGTATATTTTAGTTTTATTTGCAATGAATCGTTCATGAACGCTGAAAAATCAAAAAATTTACAAAATAAAAAAAATTAATTAAAATTTAAATTTAATTGAAAAATTTAAAGGTTCTCTAGTGTTGATCGCTTTTTTTACTGGTTAATGTTGTTAATAAACAATAAAAAAGTTACTGCAATTAATGCTTCAAAATTGTTAATAATCATCAAAGTAAGGAGTCAAAAATAGCTATACTGTCGTCACTGTACAAACTAATTGAAATATTGTGTAGAGTGAATAGTAAGTAATACTTCTCAAAATTGGTGCCAAAGTTTCAAAATTATTATGTGGTTATTACAGAAGTAAAATAGTTATTTTTGAATTTGAAAAAATCAAAAATAACCATTTTATTTTTAATTTTTTCAAATTCAAAAAATTTACAAAATAAAAATTTATTAAAATTTAATTTGAAAATTTCAAAATTTTTTAATATTAATTGCTTATTTTCACTAGTCACTATTGTTATAAATAGTAAAAAGCAACCCAAGGAAATTTAAATAATGGCAGTAGGATTAACACTAAAAAATAGACAAAAATTGAGTAAAACTTAAAATACTGTCTTTGTTTTAGTGATATTAGTAACAGTTTTAATTTTGTAATTACTGTTAATAGTACGTCAGAAAAGTGTATTAGACGTGCTTGTTTATAATAGAGCGAATGAATTGAAAAAATTGCTTGATTGTTCCAAAAGAATACAACTTCAGAATAACGATTAAATGACGACTGAATCGTCAAACTGGTTACCTACATCCTTTTCATCAAATTGGTCAACTACATCAATCTGTTATTTTTTATTTTTCCTTGGTAGAGAAATAATAATAAGCAGTTAAATTATCTTTAAAATTCCAGTAATTTTTTAATAATAAAATTATACGTAATTATTATTAATTTACTACTTGGATTAAGAATTTTCGCAATTGACAAATTGATTTGTGTAATTATAACATTTTTGCATAATTCTACATAATTAAACAATTTATTTTGTTGAATAATATGTGATAAGAATATAAAGTCTTGCGGAAATTTAAATCGTAAGTATGCAATACTAACTTAATAAACAATTTAAATGTGAAAAATCAGTTTGATAATTCAGATGCCATTAAATTGTTATTCTTTAAAAAAAATGTAATTAATTACAAACTTCAAACACGAACTTATTGCTAACATGTTTAATTAAAGTCGGAATTAATAAAATAATAATCATTTTTAACAAATAATCAGTACTATGCATAATCCACAACCATCAAAATGATTCTACAACCAGAAATTATTAATTAATTGAACTGAACTAATCATTCTACGAAATGATTGTTCTTACAATGGTAAATAGACTTCATGAAATCATGTCTGCTCATTATAATTCACTACAAAGTGATCGGAAATCGATTTTAGATTGAAAATCGGATAAAAATTTTTCGGTTTCTATCTTTGCTACCTTTCATTCTCTTGCCTGCGCACACTTCTCTTCACTCCGATTGTTCCAAATTTTTCCAGATGTGCTCTGTCAATAATAATCGTTTTATCCTCCATCTATCTTTCGTATAATTTGGTCAAAGTTGTCATTTTCAGGATAGAAGCACTGCAATTTCTTCAAATTTCTGCCTATTTCTACTCTTTTTCGTACATTATTATATTATTTACTTTAATTGTGAACGCAAATATTTCCTTCAAAATATATCCTTTAATTATTATACAGTTTCTGTAATACAATAATATTCAAAGTAGTAGTGATAATATTATCATTATTATGCTTGTATTTGATGGTTTATCACTGAAAACAACATACAACACTGCCAGTTCTTTTCTTATCACTTACTGTATTTTATTCAATGCCAGCTTACATATTGCTTTCGCTCAGCAACTATATGAAACTGATAATGATAATAAAGATGATCTTTATATTCTCATTGATGAAATCAGCGTTTATACCTGCCGAGGAGGTATGTATATTTAAATTATCAAGTAAAGTAATTGCTATTAATGGATGTTAATATTATTGAAGTTATTATTAGTCGATCACAAATAAATTATCAAAAACAAACTTGACAAATTTTTACAAATAGTGAAATTATGAATTTGTAAAATTTGGAATTACAATTGCTTTTTTGCTCAATTTTAATTACGATTTTTTCTGCCTGTTTGGAGTGTGTTTATTGACATTTCTCATGTTTTTGCGGTTTAAACCTTAAAAAATATTGTACTGACAAAATTGAATTTTATTGTAATCATAAATATTACGTATTTATTATATTTTTTCCAATTTTTCATGTATTCAGCAAGTGATAAAACTATTTATTCACAATTTTCAGTTCGGAAATCTGTTATCAATCCAATATCCAATAAAAATCTCAGGCTACTGTAGATGGTTTATTTCAGATAGAATTAAAAATTGAAAGTAAAATGTTTAATAGTATATAATTCGAGTAATAAAATGGTTTTCAGTTAAAAATGAAATCAAAGTAACTGAAGATGACATAAATATAGTGAATGAGAAAGGTAATCGTGTGTACTATGTGAAAGCTCCAGGAAATTATTCGTTGCATTTCAAGAATTTACTTGTGACGCGTGACATGGGCTATTTAAGTGGTGAGATTGGGGTCACACTTCAAGTTCCTGTCATTGAAGGCCCTGCAGGTAAATATTCAAATTCCAGTTTGTCATTTATAATTTTCTTCTCATTTTTCTTTACGTACTTTTTGCATTTTTTTATTAAGAAAAATGCCATCTAATAAATATTTAGGAATTCGTTTTGATCTACCCTATACAATAGTTCCTGAAACTGGACTTCTGGATCAAAGATGTGATGAACATAGTGGTATTGTGCAGCATGATGGTCGGCATTATTGGTAAGATGATGATATATGGGTTGTTGGTAGTTGCAGTATATTTAGTGTAGAGTATTAAATTATCATCTTTTCTAAATCACTGGGTCAAAGGGGGTCAATCATTGGGTCAAGAGTGAAGTAATTCAAGTAGATAGATTAAAGTGCGTTATTTTATTTCATGTATTCATTTTTTTATCAATATTTCAGTCGCTACTGTGATGTTTGCGGGTTAACAGAAGAATTGGAAAAAGATTTAAACAATAAAGGCCATTTATTTTTGCCGGAAGTAGCTCGTGGGAACGAGAAAAAGTTTTCTCCAATTTGTAATCGAATTTCTACCAATGTTTATGAGTTCAATCGAACTATAAATTTACCTGGAAGACGTGAACTTGAATCACGTGTTGCAGAGAAACTTCAAACTTTAGATGGTGAAAGTCGCCAACGGCTCAACAAACGTGTACGTGTAAATAAATGAACGAATTAATTCAGTAATTAAGCAATCGTTTCAGCATTTGCTTCGATTATCTGTAATAATTCATTCGATCCCTTTCAAATTAAATGCTATAAATTAATTTATACCATTAATAATTACTAATTTTTAACTACACAAATAAGTATGCTTCTAAACTTTTATCCATATTTCCACTTTATTACAAAGTGATAGCCTATAACATTTATAAAGTGGGTAACTTTACATTATTTATATCACTTCTATTATTTCCTTTAAAATTAGTTTTCATAAATTATGCATTAATTAATTTACTCGAAACTTATTTGAGCGTTTGTTATATAACCTTTGTGTATATAAAAGTATCTGTATAATTTGATGATTAATTTTAGCTTCAGCAACTTCTTTTTATTTGGGTAATTTATTATTAAAAATTACTTTAACTTGGAATTTTGAGCTCTCACTAAATAATTTCAACTACTTCTTCCCTCCAATTTAATAAATTGAGCATAGCAGTTTTATACTATTAGAATTGCTCACTTTTATTAATGTCAAATATTCATTATTACTTTTTCAATATTTGCTTAGTTTCCATTTTAATTTTTTGATAATAAAGTATATCATTTATTTTTATGCGGCTAGAAGTATTGTCTCTGAATGACAAATAGTATTTCAGCGTGGACGATTTCAAGTATTTCTGAATTTGATTAGCGCTAAGCAGCCACCAATCAAGCAGCATGAATGGTTTTCTTCATCATCTGAAGTAATTTTTATTATTATTTTTCCCTCTCAAAAAATTGATTTATGCTACAATTTTCTTTTTCGAATAATCTTTGGCTATAAACTTTAGCTCTAAGTAATGCTTGATTAAATTATTTATTAGAATTCCAATCTTTTCCGTTTGAAAATCAAAAAATTTTATAATTATGAATTCAAAATTATTGCTTTAACAGAATAAAGTTATCATTCTTTTAGGTTCACGAAGTAAGTGAAGCAAATTTGGTAGTTAATTCAAGTATTTGACTTGTCCACTATGAAAAATGATGTATACAAAACTAATCAGTTTCAAATTTTGCATAAATCAATAAATTTAGATAAATTTTAAATAATTTTTGCATAAATAAACTTTTCAGTGTCAATGTTGCTGGCCGAATAGTTCAGATTCATGCCATGGTATCTTAAACTTTTTGTACTGTAATAAAGAAGACTGTAAAAGTACGTGGGCTCAGCAATGTTTACATAATTCAGCACGTATAGTTGCATGTTATACAATAGAATTTAATTATCGCATGACGAGTTCATACCACGATGTCAAAGTATTTTTGACTGAAAATCATTATCCAAATCAAGAAGAAGTGGAAACAACTGAACCAACGTTAGCTTTTCATAAATTTTCAGCAAATTATATATAGAAATCAGATAGATTTTGTGTCACTTAAAATTTAGTTTATATTTTATGACTTTACTCTTTTGGCGCTGAAATGTAACTAATTTCGTTTAAAAGTCGTCATTTAGCTATCTGAGTTTGAGCTCTGAATCCGAGGTTAAACTATTTACGTAATTCTACAACTAAAACACTTATTGAATGACTGACCGTGGTGACCATAATAATTCGCATAATATTCATTGTGGAAGAATGTAAGATTTTATTGCAAAAGAAATTTTTGATGTTTTATACATCATATTAAAGTGCTCTTTTTACTTACTAAGGACTTTTCCAAGTTATTAGATAATATGTGAATATTGAACTTTAGGTTAACATCACGGAATCCTTCGAGTATTACTGAAACGGTTTCGGGATCTATCACGGAGCGATGCGTAGCAAACATGCCTCAAAAGTTGACCCATCTAAGGCGTTATTGTAAGATCTTCTGGAATGCTAAACTTTGTTGTTCACATTGTTCAAATGTTTGTTAGTTTTTTGGTAAAAAAGCAAACGAGCGGCATTTTCATTTATTATCTTACGGGTCTATTTTTATCATTTATTTTAGCTATTATTTTATTTTATATTTTACAATGACTGACTATTTAATGTGAAATGACTGCTTCAGTGTTTTATTAATATAAAATTGAATAAATAGGTGGTCGTTCTCTTACTATCAATAATGAATTTAGACGACAACTTTGAGAGTTAACTTTCTTTTAAAGAAATTTTTTTGAAGGTACGAAGGTAAGTTTGTACTGAACCAAAAGTAAATAATTTATAAGTAAATAATCGAGACTTATTAATCAATAACTAATCACTCATAACTAGCTTGCTGTTCAAAATCTGCTCCCTCCAACCAATTCATTTATTCAATGATTAGCTGATTATGTTTAATTTTGAATTAAAAGTTTTAAAACACAAATAATTTTCTGCAATCATTCAAAAAAACTTTCAAATTTCGTATTAATATTAGTGCTTTTGATCATATTTGCTTGATAAAAATTGCTTTGTAAAGCAGATTTGTGATTTTATTTCAAAAAACTTACAATCTTCATCAGTATTAACTTGATTCATTTGAAATCAAATTGTTGAAATGAGAAAGTTTTTCAGTAATTATCAGGAGATTCTTAATTTTTGTGAAAAGTCCTTCACAAATCGTTTGATGATTTAAATGATAATCCAAAATGATTATGCATTAAGAAATTAATAAACTTTTAATTTTCTAAGAGCTGTGCTTTAGTGAAGCAAAGGTTTTGCTACAAGCAAGAGGTCATTTAAGGTCATCTGCAGTTTTCCATACCAAGAATTGTGAGCCAATGGTCATTTAAGGTCATCTGCAGTTTTCCATACCAAGAATTGTTAGCCAATGCATGAAGTATTCAAAAATTTTCCAAATCACACCGATACTTTTGAAAATTTACTACACCTTCCGTAGTAATATCGAGAATCTGATATATTTTGGTCAGAGAATTGAAATATTTGTTGTTTCCATGTTAAAAAATTCCATTTCACATTCAGAACATTGACCGAACATAAAATGCATTTTCAGTGTTCTAATTGTTGAAAAATCAAATATTTAATCAATCATTTATGATTGATCGTTAGAATTAATTCAGTACATCAAAACAATTTCAGCATAAAGTGCAGAAATCAAGGTTTAGAATCTATTAATAATACAATTAAAATTACTTATAGAAACCACAGCTTGTTTAATATGAACTGAATTTCAATTTGCTCTTAAGTAAATAATTTCTTAGACTAATAAATAAAGACTTATTTTATTTCAAAATAATTGATAACTGTCAATTTACTTCAAAATAATAACTGAAAGTAATTCATTTAAAGTATTTATTTTCAGTAATTTTCTTGATGTAAACTAAAATATTATTTCGATAAAATCCCGAAAACGTTACTTAATTTTGCATTTTTCAAATGTTACATTTTGTTAACAGAAAATCAGAGAGTATTTCCTTTCTATAAGCATTCTTACCGTTCGTTTTTAGAAAAAATGAATCATTTTTTGATGATTCGCAGATGTTTTCTTCTCGTAAAACATACATTTATGCAACGTTAGCATTCTTCCTACTTATCATTTATTCTTATCACACAGTGATTCCGATTCCAATTTTTGATATGAAAGGATTCATTTTATCAGTGTTTGTGTTTCAACAAAATATTTGTAATCATGAATTGTAACTGTAAACGATGGCAAAAAAAGTGTAAAAATTAGTACTTTTCAGCGATTGAAAAGACAGTTCGAGTTGGACAATTTTTAAAAAATTAAAATTTGAGATGACTTAAGAGATCAGTGCGTGTAAACAATCAGAGTCAAATGAATTGAGCTACAAAACAAAATCAATTAAAACTGCATAAATATAAATAAACTAAATCAAAATGAAGTATTCGAAAATAGTTAAATCAAAAATGAGCTAGTGTTAGTATCAGTCAAGCTAATGAGTCGAATAAGACATGCTAACTAGAACTGAACTGGAAATGAAATGCAAAAAACGAAATAAATTTGAATCGATTTAAGTCGTTTTTGCTCTTTCTTTACTTCAAGTTGTGATACTTGTCCCTTACTATTTTTTATTTCTTTTTCGCTTATAAACGCTTGTAAAATAAATGTTTTAGATGAAGTTTAGAATTAAAATAATATGAAATCATTTAATTTTAATTAAATTAAACTTCAACTTCTGTTTTGAATTAAATCAGGAATTGAAATAAGTGAAATAATATTAGCAATACAAATGATTAGCCTTAGCAAGTAGACATGCTGATTGGGCGGAAGTGAAAATTTCCTTTCTTCCTCTCACTAACTCACATTTTTTTTTGTTTCACGCACCTCCTTTTTTCCAGTTTTATTATTTAATCCACTTGCTACTCTCAGACGTAACTTTTTTCACGTTAGTCTGTCTATCTATACATGTATCAATGTATCTATCTATCACTCAATCAATCAAACTGTCTATTTATCTATCTATCTATCTATCTATCTATCTATCTATCTATCTATCTATCTATCTATCTAAGCTATTTGTTTATCGATGTTCTTATTATTTATGTCTTTTATTCATTTATTTGTTGCTAAGTAATATTTTCAGCAGTTCATTTGTGTGTATGCAAATATCTGTGCTTCAAAATGTATCTGAAAAATGACATGACGCAGTAATACATTGCATGACGTCATTCAGTACAAGTATTTATAAAATACAACATAAAAGGATAGAATCTTGACAAGTATGTGTTCATTTTATGATTTAAAAATTTTATACCCTAAAAAATATTGCAAAAGATTTGTTGTATTGTACTTTATTCTTTTCTCGTTTATATCAATCATTTTGATTTGTGAATTTAAATTATTATATGTGAAATAAATTAGCATAAATACTTTTATTTGTTACTTCTGTGCATTCGTTTGTACAGTATTGCTGACACGTGAGAGCTAATTACGTTTCACGTGAATGAATTGATAGATAGACTGATTGATTGATTGATTGATGTCTTATGACAATAAGGATTAATACCAGAAGATTTGAATATCCTTGTATTGCTTTTGACTTCCAAATTTTGTTTTTGCGAAATATGCATTTTTTTTTGTAGTTTTTTGAGTTAGACTTTTTCATGGATCACTTTGGTGTTTTTCATTTCTTCAAAATGTCTACCTACAGACGTATCTGCCTGTTTTTGCACTGGTCTGCTGTGTTGCTTAAAGGAATTTGGTTCATCACAAGGGGTCAATGACATAAAAAGTCAGAAACATGCAGTACTTCATTACCAAGCCATTAGATAAATTTTTGCATCTCATTTTGATACTTTCTTTGCCGTTTTTTTGCTTATATAAACAAAATTCTCCATTCCATAACTCATGTCACATACTGGCATTTTTTTTTGAACTACAAAAAATCAATTATTATGCACAATACTTTACTTTTCATTGCAGTGATTACATCAATGTATAAATCAGCTCAATTTTCTAATTTTGATCTAAAAAGTTGTTCTTTTCTTTTTCAGGAATCTTTTACTACGAATTTTTGTCTTAAGTTTGTATTCATTGCGTTTGGTTATTTAATATTTTAGAGAATTATTTCAAAAATGCTTGAATATATGTACTACTTCTTTGCATTTTTAAAATATAAAATTTTAATCGTTCTTATTCTTAGTTAGTTTATGCTTGTTTTGACTTAACTCAACTCATAGCTAAGCATCGTAGAACATACAATTATTCAACTAATTACGTGTAAATATGCCATTGCTATTTGAATCAGCTTTGTTGTTACGCTTCATTTTGCTTTTCAGCAATTGATGGAATATCCATTTAGTTCCAATAAATAGAACTACTTTGAATTGTCTTTTACGCTGATTTTTGAATAAACTTAAGATAAAAAATATCAATAAAATACATTAAATTAATAAATGTGATAATGTTAAGCAGACAAAATCGTATTTTTATCTGTGCCACTGAACAATATTACTGCTATTTGTTATCATTCTATCTGTTAATATTAAGTAGTTTTTTTTGTATATTTGATCGTAAATATATCGCATACATGCAAATTAAGCCTTCGATATCTCTTTATGTTTTTAACAGCATTTTCTTGAGTAACAATTTGTTAACAGAAAAATTTGCAAAATGGCAGACGAGTACTTTGGTAGTTTTGCAACATTAGGTATGGCTGCTGTGGTGACCTTGGGAACTGCTGGATATTTTTGGATGACAGGTGGTCCAATCAAAAGACAGAATGCTCTTCTTGATTACAAACAACAAACTCGAGTATTGAAAGTGAGTAAAGAAATTTTGGTTAAACTAGTCATGTTAATGATTTCATTATGTTGGTTTGTTTGTTGAAACAATTTGCGCTGATAATTTAGGATGGATCTCGAGTTGCTGCATGTCTGAAAGATGACAATTTAGTGCCAGGATATTACAGCGATGTTAAAACTATTTGTGAAGCTGTACTACGTGGTTTACGTGAATCAAAGAATGGTCGAATGTTGGGTATACGAAAAACGCAGCTAGGTGGAAGTTCTCCATACGTCTGGTTGACATATAAGGAGGTTAACTTTGACCTATTAATTTATTATAATTCTTCATTGCTTTATTAACTAAAAGCTGCTTTCCGATTTTTGATTTCTCGTTCTCTGAATAAAATTTTTTTAGGTACTTGCAAGATCAGAAAATTTAGCGTTAGGATTTGAAACAATTGGTCTTACTCGTGGTCAAGATACATTCATTGGTATATATGTTCGAAATCGACCTGAGGTTTCTCACTCTATTTTTTTAAATAGCTTCATTTCATGATTTGCATATGAATTGAAACACGATATCCTTTTCAATCTGCAAAATAATCATTCAAGTATATATTTTTTCATGTATGTGTCGTCAGTAAGTGAAAGCAAATTTTAAACTTTTGTTGTTAATTACAACTTATGATAGATTGATTATGATATTATTGTACTTTATCTATATAAATGATTAAATTTGTTTCATATTGTTAAGTAAATGTACTACTACTATGGATTGTAAATTTTTATCAAAAATGACTTTATCATAATTTGAAAGCGTAGTTATTAATTTTTTCAGTGGGTAATTGCTGAGCTTGCAACTTATAATAATAGAAGTGTATTAGTGCCAATATATGAAACACTAGGTCAAGCAGCATGCAACTTTATTGTGAATCAAACACAGCTGCAAATTGTTATTGTGGATGATGAACGAAAAGCTCTGAGTGAGTTTTTTTTCAATAACAAACTTTGAAAATTAACAACTTGAAAAATTTATTCTGGTACATTTGAAAATAATTCAATTTACAGATGTTTTCAAAAGTAAAGCAGATTGTCCATCTATAAAATATGTGGTAGTTATTGACGCATACACTGATTCACTCAAAGAAAAAGCAAGAGCAGTTGGCATCTCACTGTTTCAGTTCACTGATCTCGAAGAAAGAGGGATGTATTCTGAAAAACGTAATTTTGATGTTAGTTATGATTATTATTTATACCAGAAAATTATCAATATCAAAAAAATAAAAAGTAAATAAGGCTTTAATTCTCCTAAACTTTTTAAAAATTAGCTGAAATATGATCTCACTTCAGTTTTTAAAGAATACTTTCATGTATTTCACATGCGTCAAATATTATTTTTTAAGTTAGAATCGTTACATGAAATTAATCTGAAAAAAGATTTTAATAAGTTTATTTGAAATACATGAGAGTGTTTTTGTATTTCAGCTCTGGTATACTGAAAATTCTGGTTTCTGATAAAAACTTTCTTCTTTATGATTTGTTTAATAATTAATTGTTTTCTCTCATAAGCTGATCTTAATCATTTTCAAAATCATAGAATTTTAGTATTTCATGTATCACGCAAACTAACTTGACCACTTTTGAAAAATTCTTCCTACTGAAAGTGACATAAAATTTAAATTTTCAGTTACCATCGTCGGAAGACTTATGCACTATTGCATATACTTCAGGAACAACTGGACAACCAAAAGGTGCTATGATAACACATGGGAACGTGATAGCGTGCACAACAGGATTGGATTTTTTTAGAACCTGTGGTTTCCAACCTGGGGTAAATATATTTTGTCTTCATGTAAAACATTATATTCAAATTAGTTTCAGTTTTAATTTTTTTATATGACTATTCATATCAAAACTTATGGAGCGAAATACGTTTCACAAGTGATATCAGTAACAATTTTTGAGCAGGTTCTACAGAAAAATAGTCCACTTTTCTATTTTTTAGTAAAAATAGTAGTATTTGGTGTTGGAGGGGTAACCACAAAAAGTTTTGATGCTGTTTTTGTATCGCATAATATGCTTAAATTTTTTTTAGCGATATCATTGTATATTGCTATTATTTCAGGACTCGATGATCAGTTTTTTGCCCTTGGCACATATGTTTGAAAGACTGCTTGAAACAGCAGCATTTATGTGTGGTGTTAGTGTTGGTTATTATTCTGGTAATATTAAAACACTGATTAATGACATTCAGGAGTTGAAACCCACTATTATGCCAGCTGTACCACGAGTATTGAATCGGTTATACGATAATGTCAGTTTAACGAATTTTTTTGAATATCGAAATTATGGTATCGTGATTATTCCCATGCATTCTATAGGAGGGATAATCATGGATTCTTGTTCTCTAAAAATTGGTACTAAAATAAAAAGGCAAAGTTCATATCAGAAGTTTGTTCAGCTCGTTCTCTCATCCAGTTTTCAGAATCCATTGTGCAAGTGTGTAATTACCAGCTTTTTTTAAGGTAATATCGGAATTAAATAAATCATATATTGCTAAAGTATTATTTTTGTTGGGAATGGCTTTGAAGCGAAGATATTTACAACTGTATGTTTATAAATGAATATGCTTTTTAGATATGTATCCATTTGCTGTCTATTATTATCAAATTAGTTTTTTCAAATCATTTACAGATTCTATTGGTTGTAAATGTGAATATTGATAAATCAGTTCAGATAGACAATTTCCTTGTTAATATTATTCTTTCTTGAGTTCTCTTAGTGTAGTAACTGCTGTTTCGTTTGTTTTGTTTAAAATGTTTAAAAACTTTAAGAAAAATAATATTTTAAGGTTAATTTTAGTGGTATTTTGCGCAATAATTTCTGGGAAAAATTTTTATTTCAAAAAATTCGTGATGGATTGGGTGGACGAGTAAAATTGATTATATCTGGTTCTGCACCTCTGTCTGGTGAAGTTCTGGATTTTGTTCGAATCACCATGGGATGTGTTGTTCTTGAAGGCTATGGTAAGCATGGATAATTGTTTCAAGTGACAGTCTTATTTACTTGCTAATTTAGTAAATACACATTTTTTAATCTTATTTTAGAACTCTATATAACACATTTTCAAGTCTTTAAATGTTGCAGAAAATTTTCTGACTATAGTAAATCTTGACTTTAGGGCAGACGGAATGTGTTGCTGAATGTACATTAAGCTGTGAAGGAGATAGCAGTACGGGTTGTGTTGGTATTCCTGTTTATTGTAACAAAATCAAACTTTTCGACGTTCCAGAGCTTGGATATTTTGTCAAAGATGAGGTTGAAATAAATGTTCTTATTTTAACAATGAAAATAAATCTCATTTTAATGTAAGAGTTATGAGTGGTTTTTTTTTGTTTTTGTTTTTTGTATAATTAATAAAAACTTGTGACTAGCATCTTCTTTTAGGTTGGTGAAATATGTGTAAAAGGATATAATGTATTCAAAGGATACTATAGAAACGAAGAACTTTCTAGGGAGGCAATCGACGCTGATGGATGGTTGCATACTGGTGATATTGGTAGATGGACAAAATGTGGAACACTGTCCATTGTCGATCGTAAAAAGCACATTTTTAAACTTTCCCAAGTAACTTGAATTTTAGATTGAATATGACTTATGATAGGTTTTATTATAAGACTGACTACTTTTAAATTACTAGTGTGCTAGTATCATATTAAATGAACGGAAGCTTCGAATCATTTTCAAAAAGAAGTGATAATTCTAATAGCCATTAAAAGAGACTTGCATTACTTTAGGGCCTTTAGTATTAATAATTCTAGTTATTAAGCTATGCTAATTTTAATTGACTACCTATAATAATGTGCAAATAATTTTGTTATTCCTGTTCAGGGTGAATTTATTGCTCCTGAAAAAGTGGAACTCATTTATACACACTCCAAATATGTGTCACAAATTTTTGTCTACGGCGAAAGTTTGAAGAGTTGTTTGATTGGTATTGTTGTTCCAAAAGCTGAGGTTAATTTTAAATCTTACAATTAAATAAAATGATACAAATATTCTTTTAAATATAGATTAATTTAATGGCCTCCAAGTTCAGAATTTATAGTTACATTTCACTTAAATAATGAATATTTAATGGCATATCACTGATTACTCTTTTTAAAAGCTTTGCATTTAAGGGTTGTAAAAACTTTGTTTCATAATGCAAAATTAAGAAAAAAAGTTTAAAAAAATGGATAGAAGGAAGGATTAATGGCTAACTGCTTTTAAGTAGATTGATGTATTTTCTATCTTAATAATCGTCAGTTACGTGGAATTGTCTATGATGGCAAGAAATTTTATTGTGTTCTCAATATTGCCTTGTCGTTTTTTTCGTAATTTACTTTTAGTTATTTCAATTTTTCGGACATTAGCTTTTATTTTCGTTTGGTCTTCTGAAAAAAGTATTTATTTGTTACTGTGCGTGTTATAACAATTTAGTGCATAAGTAATCAGCGCATTACACAAAAAACAGCGTACTCTTTTGCAATTTAAAATGCTTTGAAATTTCAGGAGATGTATAATTTAGCAAAAAATTTTGATCTGCTGAAGGATTCATTATTTGAACTTTGTAAAAATGAAAAAGTAAAAAAGACAGTATTAGATAACATGATTGAAACAGCGAAGAGATCAGGATTATGCTCGCTTGAACAAGTAATTATATATAATAAGTAATTTGAGAGATAAAGAAATATTTAAATATTATCTTCTTTTTACAAATATTCTTGTCTGTTTCTTCACGGCTGTAGTTTTAGAATTTAAAAATTTGTATTTTACCCTTAATGCCTTATGTTATTATTCATTTTTATTAATGATAAGTGTCAGTAATGACAAAGCATTACTTGTAAAGTATTAAATTTATATGAGTAATGATAATTTCGATTATTTGAGTTCAGTATTTAAGTATACAATTTTGTATTTGACTAAGATCTTTTGAAAAATTAGAAGTTTCCAGGTAAAAGATATTTATCTATGTTCGGAACCATTTTCGGTTGAAAATAATTTGCTAACGCCAACAATGAAGAATAAACGTGTTGAATTGAAGAAGCGTTTTGCTAATGAATTGGCCAAAATGTATTCAAAATTGCAATGAATAGTGCTGTTTGTTTTTGCATAATACTTTCAAGTAAAAGTGTAATTTGAAATTAAAATTAATTAGCTTTTCCATAAGGGCTTAAACTTTCAAATATTTATAATCATCATTCCAATTCTCATTTAATCACTGTCACGATATCCATGTTTTAATTACTGAATGAAATGGCCAACCATAAAGACACTTTCTTCTCTATTCTTCATCCTCATATCATATGTTCACAAAAATGATTGTCTTGTTCTTCACCTACTATTTCTTATCTCATTTTATAAAGGTACGGATTTGATATATATATA